AAAAAAAAAACGCAACAAGTCAAGATTACACACCCAGTGAGCTCTACCTTGGTTATCTCAAAGTTGTACAAATTCAGTCAGACTCAGTAACTGGAGTCATTGCACAGTTTATTATTACACACTTATTTTTCATTGAATAATCTGCCAAAAGTCATTCCTGAGCTTCTTGTACCACACACTGTGCCATGATTCAGGATTGGCTAGCTGTTATCATGAAGCTGAAGGGTCTATTCTTTTTGTCTCAAAACTGATGACCTGCAAGGCAGATAAGAAAAAATTTAATTCACAAAAGGTGATTTAAAATTTTAGAAAACGGGCCAAGTGCACATACCATATTCCATGAATTTTGACAAGAATCAGTAAAATTAAAATGCAAGCTGACTCAATGAAAAGTTTTTTATTATCATATGAATTTTTTCTTAAAGGAGCTAATTGCCAATATTTTCTGATGCACATAGAATTCCCTCCATATGTAATTTTTACAAAAATAAATAAATAAGATAAAAAAAAATAAAAAAGTCACCTGTTTCACGTGATCTTCTGCAATTTTCTTCATTTCTTCCTTCAGATTTCTTGAAGTAGTTAGATCCTGAAAAAAAAAAACATAAAAATGTTAACATAACAAACTGTAAAATAAAACATCTTTAAAACTATAAAGCATAATGCTGATAAGAGTGACAGAAAATATAAACATCTTTGGCATACCAAAAAAGAGAAGAATATCTCTTTTGATTAATTAATAAAAAATTGGCAGTATTGTAAACAATAATAATGTGACATAAAAATCCAACCATCAACTTATTATCTATTGGGGTTCAATAAATCAGCTGGACTTTTTATAAGAATCAGAAATTATGCTGCATTAGAGATGGACAGCTCACAAGTTACAGCCTTGTTCTATATGAAACTTGCTGACATATTTTTAAAATTTCTAATAAAGCTATGGCAAAGGGGCAATAAGAATTTAATAATGGACAAAATATGGGTAAATGTGGTTCATTTTCACGAATTAATTCAAACTCTGAAATGCAATGGTTTATGTCAACTTCAACAAGCACTTAGCTAACGAAGTCTCCCACAGACGGTCAGTAGAGGTAGCGGTCAGTGGTCAGTACTCACCATGACGTACATCTTAGTCAGTTTATAAAGCCGTGTCTTGCAGGACGTATAAAGAGAGTGGTCAGTTGTTATACCATTGGCTACCAGAGTGGCTGTGACAATCTCCTCCAGTTTCTAGGTGAATAAATGAAATGGAAAAATGTACATCATTAAAATAACTTTTTCCACAGGTGGTCATCATGAGATTTGGACAGGTATAAAGATGTTGCATTTTTTGACATATTTATCCTTAAAGAGACTGCAAGTGAGAACTACTTAGAAACCACCTAAACTTCACTGCTTTTCAAACAAAATACTTTGTTTTGAAAACAGCACGAAGGAACATGTTAGCAATGAAAGTCAAAAATCTAGGTCATTTTTTTCGTTTCTATTAATTTTTATCTACTGAAGTACTCAGATAATGTGATGCATAGGAAGTAACAGATATTTTTTCATTTTTTTAAATATACAATTATAATTGTATTTATTTTATTTATTATCTATTTATTTAGTTATTTTTGCAAACAGGTTCCAAAACTTAAATTTCTGACTAGATGTCCAAATTTTACCGACTAGTATTGTAAATTATTTTGATTAACACGAAGAAATGGGGAAAAAAAACATTTCTAACCCGCCTGTGTCTCTCTGATCTGGACTCTCTACTGACTGGCTGGGATGATGACTGGGCTTTGGCAGACATCTTGGGTTGTGCCGCTACCTCTTCTCTACCACAATCTCCTCTGGAAAATGACCAAATTATCAGGTCTCATGATATAATTATCCTATTACTAAATTCAACCTGGTATAAGCAATTTTCAACACTAAAGAAATATAATTGACCTTTTATTATTCAAGAGACACAAATTTTATCAATAAAATGGTATGTGTAATTTGACTGCACAGTATATTTTAACTATTAAAGGTATTCATAACTAGTAACAGTCAAAAATTGATTAACATTTCTCCCTTTAATTTTTGATTGCTATAAGCTCAAAAAAGACCTTAAACTAAATTTGGTGCAAATGCACTTAAAATACCTTCTTGCATCCTTTGGTTGATTCACAGCCTTCTTTCTTTCAGCTGCTTTTACTGGAACAAGTATCTTTCTATTTCTGGCAGACATCTGCACAGGATCTTCCAAGGAGGCGCCATCTTTGCTCTTTCTTGCAGACTGTCTAACTGACTGTAGACTATTTCTATTCACACTAGGAGTAGATTCTCCAATTTGCTTTCTTTTCCCTTTCTTGGCGACATCATTTGATAACTTTTCTTGCTCCTTCAAGTCTCTTTCTTTCTCTCTCTTAGCTGCATTGGTCAGTTGAGCTATGGTGACTGGTTGACTTCTCTGATGGACATTGCACGTTGACCCGGTTTCATTCCCAATATATCTGCTCCGAATACGATTTGCTTTCTGTTCTTTCCTCTCTGCTGTGGTGTCATCATTGTTGTAACTGTAAATAAGGCACTAGAGAATATTTATACTCTTCTAGTAGATACAAATTCAATTTGTGATACTAGCCAGAATAGGAACAACAATTCTGTCACAAAAAAAACAGTACGGTATCTTCCCATGAGCTTTTGCTCTAATGAAGGTCTTTATGACAATTTCCTCTATTAAATAGAAGCAATCCATGTACTTAGAAACCCTTTAAGTCCTTCACTGTCTGGCTTCTTACAGAAGACTTGGCTTTTCTCAGATATTTCCAAAGAGGATTATTTTTTTCAAGTTATACAAAGGTTTTAGTCAGGTTTAATGTAACTACTTTTCATCTAATATAAAGTTATTCTCAAAGATTTGTTTACACTAAACAATACTCAAGGTGTCAGATGAGGACTCTACTGTACAACATTCAATATTTGAATATATTGGTTATACTTTTACTACATAAGCATAGAATAGACCCATAAAAGCCTGCTCTTTAATTTTGTTAATACCACTTAATAGGAATGTTTTTTCTTCAAGAAACAACGACTTATAAAATACAGTATCTTTAAAATTCACAATTTTCCACATCAAAACGATGGAGTCGTCGCCATACATTCAATTTTGATGATATATCAGCTACATAATACAAAAATTATTCCGAAAGATTTGTTCACATGATTAACAAAGATCAAGGTGTCAAATTGCAGGGAATAATCTATACAAAGGACATATTCAATATTGATGATATACTGACTACATATCATGGAAGCATCTCCTCTTCACCTCTGGCCACTTCATAGTGGACACTGCGTCAGGGTCCAGTGACCCATCGACCTGGTGTGACTGCTTACTTCTACCCTGAGATAACACATAGGTACAAGTTAATATATCACACTTAGCAAAATATTTATACCCATCCTCCCAAAAAGAAAATTACCGTAGATTTGACTACAACAAATATGGACATGATGGGACCTCAGTTGAAAGTATTCTGTGAAGTTAAATATTTGTAATCATACTTGGAACAGCCTGACAGTTTAAAACCAATGTATAAATAAATAAATAAATAAATGAACTTTCCTGAAAAAAATATTTACTCACAAAATGTACTGGCTTCAGGTTGTCTGCTTCACTGCTGCCATCTGCCTTGAAATATTTCAGGAATTCACTCACATCTAATGTCACAGCTGCAAATAAAATAGAAGTACCGTATGTGCCTGTCCTTCCAAACATGATATCCCATATTTAATTTTTTTTTTTTGCCATTTGGTAAAACATTTTTTTCATATTTGTACCACTCATATATTCTACTTGCACAAAATAATAATAATAATAATAATAATAATAATAGAAAACATATACTTTTTATATTTACACATATAAATAAATAAACAAATACTTTAAAGACACCAGAGCTCGTAAAAGTAACTGTGACAGTGTTATATTTAGCGCTCAATAAAACATGTGTATCATTACAACTACAAATATGCTGACTTGAGCTTAGATTAGAAACCAAGCCACTAGTGGACTAATCAGTCCAAGGGTCAAATATGGCAACCCACGACAAAGCTTGCCGTCTATTCCACTAATAGACACTTTCCTGTGGGGAAGTATTGAAGTGGGTTGCCATATTTGACCCTCGGACTAGTTAGTCCCCAATTCAAAATGGGGCCTTACAGTCATCTTTGGCAGGTGGCATGAGTCCCCCCAGACTGTCTGTAGACTTGTATCTCTGGATCTTCTTCACAGTGTCTTCAACATGGAGCAGAGCTTCTCTCTCTAACCACTGGTCTGGTTCCACAGCCAACTCTGAAACAATACAATTCCCCTTTAGAAAAAAATGAAAAGTTTGCAGCAATATTGCAGCAAATTAAAAGTTTGCGGCAACCGGTTTGCCAAAAAATTGTCTTGCTGCTTATTTGCAGCAAACTTGCGAGAACATCTTACCTTTCCAGTTAGTTTGCATGAATGGATTCATGTTCTTGCTAATTTGCAGCTAATTTGCAAGAGATTTTGCTAAGGGTATGCAAATTGGACAAAAAAAGTTACTTGCAGAGGAGAAGACAATCTTCATTCACTTTCAAATGGCTTCAATTAAATAAAATCTAAAGAGAAACCTGTTATCATAATACAAATGTTGGTCTAACATTATAATAAATCTAATCTCACTATAATCTTTAGTTCCTTCCAGGGCCATGGTAATTTATTATTTGATTGTAAAAATGGTTTCCTGCAATGAGCTTATAGTAATCATATAGAGTGGTTATTAATAAAATTACCTGAGAATGAGTCTTTGGGAAGAAGTTTCACATCTTTAATACTTGTCCTGGGGAAGACACACTGCTGGCTGATAATACTGAGACACTGTTTTCTCACTTCAGAGAGCAGCTGTAACAGCTCGGAATAAGCCATTTTTGTTGACTGTCCTTCTGCTTGTCTGAACTCTGGAACAGAATGAAGAGATTTTGTTATTCGATCAAGACCAAATTCTTGGGAAATATACTGCAATAACATATTTTTATAATATGTGTCTACAACAATTGTTCCTTTTATCAATGTTCATGTTACTATAAATATGTGTTCCAATTTATCAAAATTTCAAGTCATGAATTACACCAAGTATTTAAATTTCATTTTGTCATGAACATATGATACTAATCACTACGAGTCATCATTTTTACTTTTTTTTTACTGGCACAATATTTTTGACACTTTGTTCATGGTCTCCTTATATCAGTTTCCAATTATATTATTTCAGAATTGCTGAGCAAATATGGCATAATTTTTCATCCTTGCCCCTCCCCNGAGTCATCATTTTTACTTTTTTTTTACTGGCACAATATTTTTGACACTTTGTTCATGGTCTCCTTATATCAGTTTCCAATTATATTATTTCAGAATTGCTGAGCAAATATGGCATAATTTTTCATCCTTGCCCCTCCCCCCAAATCTGGGTCTGCCATTCCTCACCTATCCACTGTTTCAACACTGAAGCCTGTGCATCCGCTATCTTGGTTTCAATTTTGACCAGTGAATCCGGAGAATACTTGGGCTGCCCCGATAACAATTCTTTCACATGTTGTTCAATTTCAGGTGAAATCAACCAGTATGACCCAGTTTTGCTTTCACTTTCATTATCTGGTGTCTTGACATTGTGGGTAATTCCTCTTCCTGTCTGGGAACTTTTACCAGCCACTTTTCTGACATCTTGAATAATTCCACTTTTCCTTAATGCATTTGCAAAGTTTATTTCAGTCCCTAAAGTATCTGATATTTTTTCCTTAGCTTTGTTATCTTCATTCTGCTTGCGATTCATCTGCCTGTCTATTTTAATTAAATCGTCTACAATTGCTCCATTGATGTCTGCAGGTTTTTTCATCAAGTAAGCAAAGCAATGGTCCATATTAAGAGTGTCGTCTGCTGAGTGGCTACAGGATGACCCATCCTCTGCAGACAACAGGAGGAAGTTGTGATAGTCTGTGCTGCCTGACAGTTTGACTATGCTATCTTCTGCTAAAATAACAAATTAATTAATTAATTAATTAATTAAAATTCATTTAAAAGGAATTCAAATCCAACTAGATAAAGTAATTTGACTAATTTAAAAGAGACTTGGGAAAGGAAAGGTGTTAATTGACATTACAGTACCCGTCACACTGTCACGTTACCTGTCTCACTGTCATGTCACCTGTGACATTGTCACATAATCTGTCATACTGTCATGTTACCTGTCTCACTGTCATGTCACCTGTGATATTGTCACATAATCTGTCATACTGTCATGTTACCTGTCACACTGTCATGTCACCTGTGACATTGTCACATAATCTGTCATACTGTCATGTTACCTGTCACACTGTCACATAATATGTCATACTGTCACATTACCTGTCTCACTGTCACGTTACCTGTCATGTTACATTGTCATGCCCTTGTCACACTGTTATGTCACCCTGACATATTACCTGCTCCATTCTCATGTCACCTGACACCTTATCATGTTACCTGTCATCTTACCTGTCACGTTGTTGATGACTCTGTTCATCCAGGTCTGGGTGTCCACTCTGAGGTCATCAATGGGGGGGTCAGTACTGTGGCCAAAGGTCAGACGTACTATTGTACCAAACTGAAATGAAAGTAATAGGCAAAGCTTTAAAATAAAAAGTAAAAAAGAAACTAAATGGCACGCCATGATTTTTTTCTTAAAAAACGTGGCACATGTAGAAAAGAAATGTTCATCTTACTTTACTGGGTATGCATGATAAGCTGTATTTTCATAATAATCTGAGTAGGCATTTACTTCATGTTAACGTTGGATAAATACAAGTCAAAGCATAATGGATGCTCACCTCTTTTCTTTTATTGATCCTCTCTAGAAATGCCTGAGAAGAAGAGTTGGCATCAGAAATTTTGGACATTAAACTTCTGATGGAGCATGTTAAGGTTATCAAAGGCAAAGTTTTCAATAAATACATTAAGTGGCAGGTTCTAACCCCCCAAACCCCAATGGCTACCAGCCTGAACCTGAACTGACTACCTACTCCAGTGACTAAAATCTTTACTGGTGAAATAAAGATAAACACATTCTTGACTCCTAATACATAGTGAAATGCAAAAATAAACTGCTGTGGCCTCAGACGAGAGACAACTGAGTCACTGATAAGATAACTGTTATAACTCTGCTGAACACACATTCATAGGCCATTCTCTCCAACTAGTTTACTGCTGAAAAGAGATAACTGCTCTACATAAAACAGTTTGCTACACGCCCCCAAGATGGCTACAGCTCGTGATGACAGAGATGAGGAAGAAAGCCTACGGGCCAAAATAACTGAATATTTTGTCAGCTGTCCATTATGCCTTGAGGAGTATAAGGACCCGACAGATTTACCATGTAAGCATACATTTTGTAAGGGTTGTCTGAAGGACTATATTCCTGACATAACACCAGGAAGTAAATTCAGATGTCCCGTGTGTCAGAAAGAAACTGAACTTACTAAAGATGGACTTGAGGGCTTCACTCACAATTTCTTCATTGAAAGCTTGCAGGACACTGTGCTTCAGTCAACACATAAGAAAAAGTGTACCTTTTGTTCTTTGGTGTCCAAAACTGAAACGGTGGCTACTTCAAAATGTATCACCTGCCATGACTACCTATGTGACAGATGTTCTCCATTCCACTGTGGTACCACACTCACTAAAGATCACAGGGTACTCACTTTTCAACAACTTCACAGCAGTGAGTATCAAAAAGAAATCAAAGAGCAGCAAAAGATTATCTGCCCAGAGCACAAAGGTGAGATGATACGATACTTTTGTTCAGACTGCAATGTCCCCATCTGTCGTGACTGCAAAGATCTAAACCATGATGGTCACAAACTTATCTCCCTTGAAAAAGCTGCAGAGATGGTTAAGCCAAAACTTGAAAACAAATGTCACAACCTTGAAAGAAAATTAGCAACAGGAGAAAAAACATTAGTTAACATTGATAACACACTAGCAATTTTCCTAGAAAATGAAAGCTCTGTTCAGCAGCAGATAAAAGCTCATGCAGCTAAAATACGTCAATTGCTAGATCAACAAGAGCAGACCTTACTACAGGAGCTTCACAAAACCTGCAGCACTCACAGGAAGAATTTACAAACTTCCTATGACAGCTGCAGTATCACTTGCTCCTCTATCAAAACCACAATAGATGTAGTAAACAACATCCTTCAGCATGGTGCCCCCATAGATGTCCTCATGTTACAACACCAACTTGGACAGAGACTAGATGAGCTACAGTCCAATTCATCTGTTGAAGAAATTCCAGAAAAACTACACCTAACACTAACCACCAACAAAGAAGTGGACCAAGAGATATCCAGTGGGGCTGGCCTGGGGAATGTGCAGATATCTAGACAACCAGCTTTGCCCAAGTTCAAACCACAGGCTGTATGTATGCTGGGGTTTGACACTGGCAGTAAGTATCCAAAGGACATATCAGTGAGTCCAAACAGGGAGTATGTTACTACACATGACGGGAAGAACAAGGTCAAGGTTTTTAGTTCAGATGGTACATTAAGGAAAGAGATCACAAGTGTCTCACACACACAGCTGAAATGTCCAAGAGGGATCTGTCACTTACCTGATGGAAGGATGGTTCTATCTGGTACACACAATAACAAACTGTTCATCCTGTCACCACAGTGGGAAGTACAGGAAACTGTAGATGTCAGCAGCCCATATGGTGTGGCTCTCAATAACATTTGTATCAAACGGAATATAACTTTAACTGATGTGATAAAAGATACAGAAGGAAAACAGTTGTTCAATGAACCATTAAAGTGGCATATATGAGCAATGGGTGACTTGTTGTTAGTGATACATCACCAAACAAACTTCACATCCTAACCCCATCTGGTGACCCACTGTATCAGTACACAGGACCTGATAACAAGTTAGGTGACATTCGTGGTGTCTGTGTTGATGCATATGACAACATACTGGTTACAGATATTGATAACCAGTGCATACACCTTGTATCCCCAGATGGGAAGTTCATCCAGTACATAGCAACCAAAGCTGATGGACTATATAAACCATTGGCATGTACCATCAATCAAGATGGAGATCTGGCTGTGACTGAACTTGCTGGGAAAGTTAAAGTATTCCAATACCTTGAAAAATGACATCATTTAAAATGCTCAGAAACTTAACAATTTTCAGTTTACTGTCATTCTAATATTTCAAAGAAAATGGTATATATTGACATATAAATCCAACACTGACAGAGATTGTTTGTAATTAAATATTTAGTTTTTATGTCATGAATGACAAAATATAATAACAACATCTCATAAAGAATAAAGAAGAAAAATAAAATGACCACCCTGTAAAAACTTTTTTCATCTTAAAACGATGAAATACTCGGAAGTGAAAATGAAAGAAAAGACAGAAGCAAAAGGAACAATTTGTGATATGTGACAGTGGCAGATCCAGAGATATTTTCTGACAGTCTTTCATATTATATTTGTTGATCCATCCTCCATTTTTTTACTGTCTTCCAATAGGAAGAAATAGATACCAATCAATGTAAACTTAAAAATCTGACCGTCTTCTGGAAGACCCAGAAGTCGACCTAAATCCACCGTTGTGTGAAGTAGCCCATGTTTAAAGATGTTCATTTTAAGGATATTAAAAAAGTTTTGGAAATATTAAAAGAGCTGCCTGTAATACCAGGAAGAACTGATATTTTTTTGTATCATAAATAATATATTTAATGTATATTACCTAAATGACACGTACCCGCTTCTTTAAAGAATAGATGTCAATTATTCTCAACATAAGATAACATCTGAAAATCAATTGGTTTGTAGTTGAACTATTAGTCCTTGTATTAAGTTACAATCATATTTCTCTTTTTATTTAGCTATGTTTTTTCTTCTTCTTTATGGAGGGTATTGATTTTAGGTAGGTTGCATAAGCTTTAAGAATGAAATTATGTGTAGTAATTGTACTTAAAATATGAAGGTGACACCTTTAACTGCAACCACATCTGATTTTAAACTATTTTTGCTGATGTAAATATCTGATGCTGAAAGGATATCATATTTTTTGACTAAGCAATAATTTATTTTGGTTTGGACTTAACAAATAATGTTACGCTGTAGTTATGAGAAAATAAATCTTCAACGGATACAATGACTTGAGTTAATATCATGCAATAAAATAAGACAAAGAAATATTGAAAAAGTACTGGTATCTTAATCATTCATGACTTCCACAGATTTAATATAAAAATATCTTGTTCCATGTGAAAAGAACAATAAGAGCAAAAAATCTCTCTCTACCTCCACACTCTCTGTAGATTTACACAATATATCACTGAACACAGCTGACTTCTCTTACTTCACACCCACCTCCTGACTGTCTCCCTACATAAGACAAATATATACCAGATACCTCCACACTCTCTGTAGATTTACGCAATATATCACTGCATGAACACAGCTGACTTCTCTTACTACACACCCACCTCCTGACATTGAAAGAACATTAGAAACAGGGAAGAAAACACTAGATTATCAGAGAGGCAATACCGCCTCAGGGTATTGTACCACCAGCTGGAGTAAGCACATATGTATGAAAAAAAAGGACAGCACCTCCAGTGTTGACTTTTGTGCTTGACAAGCTTAACAAAATGCAGTAAACAAGATTTCTCAATATTTTTGTTGAAAATTACCATTTAAAACAAAATCATGGGGAAAAGTTAGTTTTAATCCAAATTTGTGAACTTGTTCATGGCAAAAAGTAGGTCAAAGGTCAATTTCAAGGCCACAGTTAAATTGTCAGTATATGTCTTCCTATCCAAGTTCAATAGTAACTATGGGCGTATCTCTGCACCTTCTGGAGATATAAGAGATGGAAACCTTGCAACACACAAGAGATGGATACAGGGGCTTTTGTAGTTTGGGAGGACAGGCGGTAACAGTGACATTGCAGCGGAGCCGTCAGACGATACCGGTCGGGACTAAAACCATCTGTACCCCCAGCCCCGCGTGCCATGGTGGTACAAATAGAGTGGCAAAATATTTTAAAACCATCGCCAACAAAGCAAGCAAGCTGTATGCATATGACATACAGTAAAAAAACAACCCTAGATCTAATTCTCTGGATCATATGAAAAGATACAGTTTAAACTTGCTGTTAGACAAGACATATGTGGGAACGTCACCTAGGTATACTTCATCCAGGAAAACCAGATGCGGAGACATGGCCAGCTGAAATAGAAAGAAGACTTCATCTTAGTTATTATAATAAATGAAAATTTATCCTCATTGGTGCACTGTTGAAACTGAGGAAAGTAGCTTTTACACAAAACTATAGTCCAGCACTTTCTATATGTTTTTACTTTTGACACCCAGGTAGCAGTATAATCTTGTTCAATAGTTATAACCAATCACTTCACTGCTCAACATATCATTTTACCTCCAAAATTCCTTTTACCTCAATTCTTGCTGTTTGTATTCCAACCAATTTTGTTTAAAACATTTAAGATAAGGTGAAAAATAATTCATATCTTTTTTTTCTTTTTGCTTCTTCAGTCAATCTTGACCTTTCTGAGCACAGAACAGGATCACAGATATCAGTACCACATTTTAACCACCACAGCATCATCTAAAACTCATCCGAAAAATAAATAAAAAAATAAATAACTTACAACTGGAGGCTGTCGCTTCTTTCTCCTGCTCACTGTCCCATAATGTTGTCCTTTCTGGTCACTTACTTTCTGGTCACTCTGTACTACATGTATACTGTACTGACCAGTCAACACCGAGCCTGTCGTGGGACTCAGTGACAGGTTTGGTACGCTGAGGGTGTCTCCTGTCTTAGAAAAGAATAACAAGCACTACAGTAACAATCAGCTGCCAAATCAATCACAGAGCCCATTTAGGACAGATGATCCTCGAATTTACTGATCTATGATTTAAATATGGCAGACCCTACATGAAAGCAAGTCTGTTAATCCCTTAATGGTCTCCCTGCCTCTACATGCGCCATTAAGACGAATAAAGCTCAGCTCCGAGGTTTAATTGCAAGGCCCCTGCTAAGACCACGCATGTGGAGGCAGGGAGACCATTACTTTTATAAGTGCCAGTACAAAGCTTCAAAAAAGATATGCCAAGTGAAAAACGTGCAGAATGTGACACAGAATTGAGATGCTCTTTTATACCAAAAGTGTAGTCACGAAAAACACCCCCATGTTTACCTTTTGGAAATAAACAACTTCATAACACATATTTCATCATCTCACCTTGGTATTGTGAAATGTCACACTTCCCCTCCATAGCGTATCCACGAGCAAGCGAGTGCTGCCACCTATTGAGCAAGAAGTGCCCTGTAACGCCTCTACCCAGGCCCAGCCTTCTGCAGACAGGATATTTTCATACAACAGTGTTACAAACCCATGGTGACAGGTAACAAGTCTTTGTAAAGCACCATACAGTCCCAGGTTGGATCTAGAGTGGAAAAATAGTGTCAGCAACTTTTTATAAAAATAATGAAAAATTTCGGAAACTTTTCAAATAGAGAGTATAACTTTATAAATAAAACTTGCTTCAGGCAACTAGTGGAAAGTTTCATATTCATTTCTCTGGCTTTCAGGCCTAGCACCAACAATTTAATTTGGTTTTCACAAATCTAAGTTACTTCTGTATGAAATTTATTAACTCTCAGCTCAAATTTATCAAGTATCTGAGATCTGGGCAGCAAAGTTGATATACGGGTATATGTCTTTTACAAAATTACACTGATGTATATTTACTCACTCAATACTGAAATTCACATTCCCAAACCAAATGATGTCCAGCAAGAAACCTACAAAAATAGATCAAATAAATAAATATCTCATTTCAAAACCAAATCAAGAAACACACTTATCACAGTATGTACACTTACATTTGTATATGCATGTTTACTTCAGCAATCATGTGTGTATATATGTTTATGTGTTTGTGTTATGAAAAGAATATATACAACTACCTGTATATGTAGCCTCTACTAGGGCTGCAGTTCTTGTGGACATTATTGCTGAGGTGACCCTGTAACATTTGGCCAGATGGGAGCAATTAAATCTGCACGTGCACAGAAGGCTTTGGACCTGCTCTGCAGGAGCTCAGTGAGAGTTGGACTTCGTGCCAATGTAATCAACCCTTCTTACGCAACCTGCCTTGTCTTTATTGTCCCAGATGAGCAATTAACTGTCTTGATTACTGTCAAGGGGACTTGGCAGGGACTTGTTAAGTGGCAGGACCTCAGTAGTTATGCCAACAATTACCAGCCATGTAATCATCCTTCTATTAGCCATCTATTTAACCAGAGGCATATCTGTTAATATCTAGAGGAAAATCAATCTGTGGCCCTGGTAGGTGTTTGTGTTATGAGAATATATACTAGTACCTGTGTATGGCAGAGCATCTGCCATTAGGTGAAGTTGTTCTGCCCTGAAAAATTAAAATAATTCTTAATAATAATAATAATAATAATAATAATAATAATAATAATAATAATAATAATTTAAATTCTTTCTGCTGGACAGTCAGTTGTCCAATCATCATGTTTCTTTCATATTATATATTTATAATTAATAATCATCTCTCCTAATGAGTTAAAAATAAGTTGAGCATTTTCGTACACTTACAATTTGGGAGAAAAATAATTCTGTTCCATTTCAAGTATTCTATATGACAAAAAAAAAATGCAAAATTGAATAAGAAGTTTGATTTTTGAAATGACTATTATTATATAACATACATTAAATCAGTGTCTTCACTCTGTGCAGCTGGGCAATTTGTCTGTTTTCCGTGTAACATTTCTTGAAGTGTCTTACAGAATGTGTCAGTGTTCGTAAAAGCCTCCCATTTGACATTCTCAGAGTTGGACTTTGTCTGTTGTTGCTATAATAAAAAGCAAAACAGATTCTAGAAGGGAGTAACTTTGTATCGCACTCATACCTAATTTTGGAAAATTTGTAGAAACTTTGTCTTCTGGAATAAATTATTTTGTATTCATACAATATGAATAAATGGACGTTACAATGTCTATCACTATCCCAAGTGAGTCATGCTTCAATTTTGGTATAAATCTTTACACCAATGCCTCAGTAGATAATGAAATTCAACATTAAAATCTGAAGATCCGTTCTTTACAAATAAATACATACACAACTGGGATAAAGTTGACTTTCCAAGCAATAAAAAAAAAAATAATAAAGTTTTATCTGTCAAAGATATTTAGAAAAAAATAAATGAAGTTAATATTGGCTGGTAATCCTCAGTTAATTTTTGTACAGCTATTGACAACTTTAACTTAATCTGTTTATCAAAAACACATAGTAAATGATACTGTCCAACAATAAAAGATATGTATTAATAAGGTATTAATTTGCAACCTTGTGGTCAGCTATAGGGCGTCCATCTTGACCAGAGAGGGGGTGGACAAAAGCAGTGTACACTTGCTGGGAGGCCTCTCCAAAATACGTAGTGATGGTAATTTCTTTATATCTGCTGGCGTCTTCTGTAAGCTTCTGCAGCACAGCAGGTAGCAGTGTACTGTCTTCTGAAATAAATAAATAAATAAATAAATAAATAAATAAATAAATAAATATAATCTTTGTCCAACTTCTAATGATTTAAACACTAGTATAAATGGGTTAGTAAGATGAGAGTGATTAACTCTTAAAGTTCTTATGCAGTATGCCCCCCCACCCCCCACCCCCCTTAGTCTGCCTTTTCAGCAGCATTTCCGTATCCTCAGTCAGATATACTGGTGCATGATATATTCCCTAAGGTGCTCACCACTGATGATATCGGTACACAAAACTAATACATAGCGATCCATGTTTTGTCTCTGTATTGTGGGCAATAAACTATGGACATGTCAAGTTTGTGAAATATAAGCTAAAGCCGAAGGACGAAGTTTGATGTCTCTGGCACAGTCGAATATTACGAGGTTAATTTTGTTAATTTCCCGCTGCTGTCGTAAAGGGATACTTACCAGAAATTACGACATTGTAACCACATTTCTACCCCTGTCCCGCTATTCAATCTCTTTTAAGACATGGGTAATAAGAACAATTGACAGATGCTTTTTGAGTATTTAATATTTTGAGAAGATATATAACCAGTGAGAGATTTTCTTTGTCGTTGTTGTTTATTTCCATCCAAGTACCACTTTGTGTCTTGAATGAAAGATGGGGAGTGTGTCGCGATTTGTGCTTCTTAACACAGGCGCTCGCATGCCGATTATAGGTCTAGGGACGTACAAAGCTAGTAAAACACAAGTCGAGAACGCTGTTGCGTTTGCCTTGGGGGCAGGGTACCGCCACATCGATACTGCTGTTAGTTACGAAAACGAAGACGCCATTGGTGACGTTCTTCACTCTGTGATCAAAGCGGGTCAGCTCAAACGAGAGGATGTTTTCATCACGACCAAATTGCCGCCACCGTACATGGGGAGAGAACACGTTAAACCGTGTATAGAGGAATCCTTAGAGAAATTAAAAACCAAATATGTAGACATGTTTTAAATTCATAAACCTTGGGGAGAAGCATTCGAGAAATGGGGACAGGTCCGCGACTGTGCAATGCACCACCACGATTTCTTAGAGACGTGGGAAGTAATGGAAGAAATGTTCGATTCGGGTCTTGCAAAAGCCATCGGTGTTTCAAATTTTAGCATACAGCAGATCGATCGAATTCTGTCCAAGGCAAAAACAAAGCCTGCGAATTTACAAAGTGAATGCCATGCTTACTATCAACAGAGGACGCTGAGCCAATACTGCAAGCAAAACGGAATAGCATTTACTAGTTATGCAACTTTGGGCGGCGCACGGTTATACGGTGGCCCAATACTGTTGGAAGATCCTGTTATTTTAGATATAGCTGCATCTTACAACAAATCCCCAGCACAGATACTGCTGCGTAACCTCGTTCAGAGGGGGGTAATTGTTATCCCAAAGAGCGTAACACTACAAAGAATCGTTGAGAACTTTTCAATATTTGACTTTAATCTGAGTGATAGAGATATGGCCAGGATTGCAAAGCTTGATAGAAATATCAGATATTATCCTTTTACCTATGCGCAAAATCATCCTGAGTTCTACTCTGAATTTTGACCTGGCAAGATGGGCATCATAAACAGGTTCCCAGCCTAGGAGGAGGGGAGACGGGGTTTCGAAAGAACCACCCTTTTTCCTTAGAAAAGGCCCTTTCTGGGCTAAATTTGATCTGGGTACAGAAAAGTTTTATTGTGAAAGGCCCAGTTTTTTTGGAGAAAGAACCCCTTTGCGATCTACATAAGGCCATCACCTGGTCCATCTGTGTATTATTTTCCTGACATTTGTGCTTTTTACAAAGTTACCTCTGCAAGGTAACACGTACATCCATGAGTAACCATATCACCCCAGTTTTAAAAAAGTTACAGGATCTTATTTGGATTTCTAGTCTTTGTTCATGATGCTTTTTACAAAGTTGCACCGATCTACTTAGTTTCCAGCAAGAAACCTGTGGTCTGTAGACGAATTGTTACTTAAAGTAAGCCAGTAAAAATGCGCCTAAAAATTTATGGTGACATTTCCTTTAAATCAGCAGGCTCAAAGAAATGGAATTTATTACCACTAGAAATCCGATCAATTGAGTCTACCAAGCATTTTACAAAAGAATTGAAGACATACCTATTCAGGAAATTTTTTGACTAATCTACTTTTAAATTGATTTTACAAATGTTATAGTAAATGCATTTTTGCACTGTAAGAAATAAGGCTGTACTACCCATTATTTTTTCTGTGTGCAAATAAGGCTGGTTTTTTTTCCTAGAATTGATTATTTTTTCTTAACAAACATAGTTATGTACTGTAAGTGCTTTTATGTGAGAATCCGTATGTTTTATCTAGAATACTCTTAAATTATTTTTGTCGTTAAGCTCTGTAATTTTATTTTTCTGTTGCTAATAATTGATGTCTTAAGTAATTGTTTTATGTATATGTAGTCTTCTGAACATGTTAAAAATGGATTTTAGACTCAAAATAAATTTATTATTATTATATTGATTACACTTTTTGATTCTGAGGGTCAATTGCTGGCACTGTTATGTCCAATAATTAATATAGGCGCCCCAAGGAAATATAATATATTCTAATACTCTGTTTGGTTTTTTTATGTGAGGTTTACTTTTGCGCTTAGAATGGAGATGAAACCCTGACCTTTTTTATGAACAAGTATTTTTAATTATGATTTATTTTTAACTTAAATTATAATTAAATCAAAATACTATGATAATAATCTAACTTACTGATTTGTATTTATTTTTTTGTGAAGAAGTGGATCTAGTAAATTACAGCTACTTTGGTGTAAATAATATCCTGAGTTTACTTATCTCTACTTCCATCAGCTTTTGAGAACTTGGATATCATGGCAGTATGGCACGTTGATAATTGTTAAATTACAGAAAATATGACGTCATAAGCCCATCTAGTGATATGTGTACAGCAATAAGTAAATATGACATGAAGCAGTTATGTTTTGGATTAAATCCTGGCGCTNAAAGAAAAGTAGACAAAATATTTTCATAATAAATACAAATTCCCATTATGCCCAGTAGCAATTTCAATATTAAATCAATAATGTGAACACAGTAAAGATCAGAAAAAAGGCTGACCCAAATCCCTATACAGGTGTTTTATAGGAAAGAACTAGTTCAATTCAGGTGAATGCAGAGACGTCTGTGCATAAAAACAACTGTGTCACAAATACTGAACAACGCTCTAGAGACAGAATCAAAAAAGAAAATGGCAACTGCAGACTCCAAGGGTGTAACTGAAAGTCCACAAGCAGAAAGTTTAAGAACTGAGATAGCTAACGACTTTCTGAGCTGTTCTTTGTGCCTTGAGGAGTATAAGGACCCAACTGATTTACCATGTAGGCATACATTTTGTAAAGGTTGTCTGAAGACTTATATTTCTGATTTAACACCAGGAAGTAAATTACGATGTCCTGTGTGTCGGAAAGAAACTGAAGTTCCTAAAGATGGACTTGAGGGCTTCACTCACAATTTCTTCATTGAAAGCTTGCAGGACACTGTACTTCAGTCAACACCTAAGAAAAAGTGCAGCTCTTGTGCTTTAGTGTCCCAAACTGAAACGGTGGCTACTTCAAAATGTATCACCTGCCATGACTACTTATGTGACAGATGTTCTCCATTCCACTGTGGTAGTAGACTCACTAAAGATCACAGGATACTCACTTTTCAACAACTTCACAGCAGTGAGTATCAAAAAGAAATCCAAGAGCAGCAGAAGATTATCTGCCCAGAGCACAAAGGTGAGACAATACGATACTTTTGTTCAGACTGTAGTGTCCCCATCTGTCGTGACTGCAGAGATCTACACCATGATGGTCACAAACTTATCTCCCTTGAAAAAGCTGCAGAGATGATTAAGCCAAAACTTGAAAAAAAATGCCATAACCTTGAAAGAAAATTAGCAACAGGAGAAAAAACATTAGTTAACATTGATAACACACTGACAACCTTCCTAGAAAATGAAAGCTCTGTTCAGCAGCAGATAAAAGCTCATGCAGCTAAAATACGTCAATTGCTAGATCAACAAGAGCAGACCTTACTACAGGAGCTTCACAAAACCTGCAGCACTCACAGGAAGAATTTACAAACTTCCTATGACAACTGCAGTACCACTTGCTCCTCTATCAAAACCACAACAGATGTAGTAAAGAACATCCTTCAGCATGGAGCCCCCATAGATGTCCTCATGTTACAACACCAACTTGGACAGAGACTAGATGAGCTACAGTCCACTACAGCTGTGGAAGAAATTCCCGAAGAAATACACCTCACACTGGAGACCAACAAAGAAATGGACCAAAAGACATCCAGTGGGGCTGGCCTGGGGAATGTGCAGATATCTAGACAACCAGCTTTGCCCAAGTTCAAACCACAGGCTGTATGTATGCTGGAGTTTAACACTGGCAGTGGGAATCCAGTGGACATTTCAGTGAGTCCAAACAGTGAGTATGTTACTACACATGCCTGGAATAACAAGGTCAAGGTTTTTAGTTCAGATGGTACATCAAGGCAAGAGTTCACAAGTATCTCACACACACAGTTGAAACGTCCAGTAGGGATCTGTCACTTTCCTGATGGAAGGATGATTGTATCTGATGCAGGCAGTAACAAACTGTTCATCCTGTCACCACAGTGGGAAGTACAGCAAACTGTAGATGTCAGCAACCCACAAGGTGTGGCTCTCAATAACAGCTGCACTAAGATTGCTGTGGCACAGATTACAGAAAAGTCTGTGAGTGTGTTCAGTGTTGACATCAAACGGAAAATAACTTTAACTGATGTGATAAAGGACAAAGATGGGGAGCAGTTGTTCAATGAACCATATAAAGTGGCATATATGAGCAATGGGTGCCTTGTTGTTAGTGATACATCACCAAACAAACTTCACATCCTAACCCCATCTGGTGACTTACTGTATCAGTACACAGGACCTGATAACAAGTTAGGTCGACTCCGTGGTATCTGTGTTGATGCCTATGACAACATTCTGGTCACTGATATTGAAAACCACTGCATACACCTTGTATCCCCAGATGGAAAGTTCATCCAGTACATAGCAACTGAAGCTGATGGACTAAAAGACCCATGGGGATGTACCATCAACCAGGATGGAGATCTGGTTGTGACTGAACGAAATGGGATAGTGAATGTGTTTCAATACATTGAAAAATGATGCCATTTAAAATGCTCAGAAACTGCACAATGTACAGTTTTCTGTCATTAGAATATTTCAAAGAATGTAGTATATATTGACATAAAAACCAACACTGACGGGGACTTAGTTGTAATTAAATATTTAGTTTTCATATCATGAATGACAAAATATAATTACAACATCTCATAAAGAAGAAAAAAGAAAAATGAAATGACCACCCTGTAAAACAATAACTTTT